TGTGTGTGTGTGTGTGTGTGTGTGTGTGTGTGTGTGTGTGTGTGTGTGTGTGGGTGGGGGGGGGGGGGGGTGCGGAAGGGATTTACTATAAGTATTAAAAAGACAGGTATCGTGTGAAATTTCAAAAGCCTCATCTTATTCAACTATGTAAGGTCAACTACATGGATTACACTATGCCTTTTGGCTCAGTTGAAGATTAAAACATCAGAGGCATTATTTAGTATTTACTATGATTCTTCTTTTCAGCTTTGAATGCATCACGCAACACCAATCTTTTTTCAACTAGATGGGGTTAGCTACATGTATTAAGCAATGCCACATTGTTGTGTTGTTAATCATGTGTAAAGGCAAATGATAAATCTCTATATCCTTAATGGTTTTGCTTATAGATTTTCTCAATCACCCTTTGCCTCTAGGGATTGAGCTACCCTTCATTTGCTTCATAAAACAGTATAAAAAGTCTGGAACAAACATGGAAATTGCATATTTCCAAGCTCACTTTTCCCAAGAGTCTCAAAACAAATGTGCCTTAAGTTGATATATGCTGCTGTGGTGCTGCTTGCTACCAACTTGATGCATATATATTTTGGTCTGGCTCAATCCAAATAACTGAATCTCTTTTGGTACTATATTTTTGGTTTTATGACCTTCTCTTTCATTTTTTTCCTTCTGTTTATTTTTATGGTTTTTTGATTTTATTTCTTTTCCGCATCTATTTGTAATATGTAACCATCATCTTTCCTCTTTACAAGCATACGTTTTACTCTTTACACTCCTTGTTGATTTTCCATCTTAAAATTTCAGGGCTCATGGATTGTACGCCAGAGTGTTGGGAGTACTCCTTGTTTACTGGGAAAGGCAGTTGATTGCAACTATATTCGTGGTCCCAAGTATTTAGAAGTAAAATTTCATTCAAGTTCTTCGTGAATTTTTGTCTGTCTTGTTGTAGGAACTAGGAAGGTTCCTACTAATGAATGATGTTTGTATCCTAACTTGTCTGCAATGATTTTTCAATCAATTACCTTTTATTTGTAGATTGATGTTGATATCGGTTCTTCTACTGTTGCTAATGGAGTTTTGGGATTGGTTATTGGTGTGATTACAACACTGGTGGTTGATATGGCTTTTCTTGTACAGGTGCGTTTTATATACCAGTAATTTACATTTACACAAGTTTGAAGTGGAAGCAATTGGACTAGACCTATTTTCTTCTTGCTTTTAATGTGGAAACTTTCACGTCCATATTTGCACAAGCATAATGGCTTTGATTTCACATGTGCTAATAATACTTGATTTTAGTTTAATTCACTTCGGTAGAATAGACTCTTGTATGGACAGAAATGCACCTTAGAGATGATAGCTAGTTTTGTCCTCCTAAGGGTTGGGGAAAGACCTGCTTGCCTCTTTTCCCTTGCCTTTTTTTTTTCAAAACGTGGAGGCCTGCTAAATGAAAACAAACCTGTGTTTTAACAAATTATGTTAAATTTCATTACCTGTCACCCTCCAACTGCTAGGAATTAATGTGTTTGTTTGTGATGCACCTCAACTTGTCTGAGGCCGAAGCATGGAATGGCGTTGAATGCCATTTTAAACAGAGATACAAATATGCTCTTTATCAAGTTGAGCTAGTTCTGTGTAAACAATGTCTTGAACTCTTGACCTTTTACCTTTGTGTGTGAGTTGAAGATTTGCGTTCCATAAAATTTATAATATTGATACTTAATAGATGTTTATAATGGCATAAGCAAAATGAACCACCAATTTGGTCCATCAAGTGTTACATTCTCCTAAGTATTGAATATTGTTCAATTTAGTTTCTAAGTTCACATATTTTACTAATGTTTAGGAACCAAGTTGGAGGATTTCTCTATTTGGGGGACTAATTAGCCTGATTTCTAATATTTTCACTTTAGGGACGAAATTGAGGATTTATTTGACAAAACCATGTACCTTGTGATATTTTGTTAATACCAACCGCGTGCTGCTTTTTTGCTTGCACTTCTGTAATGGCATGTATGTTCTGGAATTGAGTGCATTTGATTTACCTAGAAAAAATAAAAGTTTCACAGTTCACACGTAGTCATACTATTACGTAGACCAGTCTTCTATTAAAATATAACTTGAGTTTGTAAATCTATAAGCACCAAATAACCAGATGATTAGCAAACTTCGTAGTAAAAGTGGGAATTTGGTTGTTACTTGAGCTGAGGTCGGTATTGTACTGTGTCCAAGTGTCCATCATTTTAACTAATATGTATGGGAGAGATGGATCAGTAGATCATCATTATTAATAATAGCTACCTAATTTTTTGCTAAAAGTCCTCATAATTTGTTGTAAATATCTTGAATGTTCGAGTTTAAAATGTTGATTTTTCTATCACAACCTCTAATTTGTGTTCTGAACCGGGAGTATTGGAATATTGGATCATGTTCGTGCCATAGAAGGTTTTATTGCTGGATTTTATGTAAGAAATTATTTTAGAGATGTAATACACATAGAATTCATCTAATAATTTATATAATATCATTTTTTTTGTGTCTATTTTTTTTGCATTACATAATTTATTATATCTCAAATTTATCTCTCTTTTTCTTAAATGTACATATAACATTTTTCATTATTTTGCATATAGTAGCATTTCTATTATGCCCTGGCATGTGTGCATGAGGGTTAAAATTGTACTTGGTTCTGAATAAATGCTACTTGAGTTTAAACATTAATTTTCAAAATAGATTGGTAGACAGTTCGTTGATATCTTTTAATGTATCGTGAAATCGTGACAAAATTATTATTGACAGGCAAATACTCCTGATGAGTTGCCCGAGAGGCTTATTGGAGCTGTTCGAGTTTCTCATTTAGAGCTCAAATCTGCCATCGTCCCAAAACTGGAGCCGGATCCATCATGACCGACTGAGTCGTTTCTGTTCTTTTATACAAAATCATTTGTTCGCAACATGCACGTGTACCATTTTTTTTCCTCACTGGGATGTAGGTTCATTGTTTCCTAATTGCGTTCTTTTATGAAATATTAAAAGGAAAATTTCTTTTCATCTTTCCTTTTTTGTAGTTCATTTAAAGTGTTAAGCTGATAGGATCTGTATTTTGTCAATGTATTCATATTCGGATACATTTCATCTGATTATGAAGTATCAGCATATAGTTCGAAACATTTTTTTTTTCTGTAACCCCCGAGTAACTTAGAAGAAAAAGGGAAGATTTCAGTCATTTCATCCCGTCATGGAATTTTCTTGTGTAATAATGTATATAGTTTTTTCCTTCGTGACATCTCCCTGCACCAAAGGTTGTATCTACATTTTGTAGTAATGCAGTTTCTTTGTCATTCCTAAGGTTCTCTAACCGAAAGGTTGTAATACTATTAGAATACGAGGGGAGAATGAATGTTGCCATTAAGATTCTGCACTGCCTTTATTTTATTTGGATTTGGAGTGAATAGAGAGAAAAAAAAAGTTTAAAAGTAATATGTTGGAAAAGATTTGCTGTGGATTCAGATCTTCTGCACTTTAAAATTGAACTGCCTGAATCTTAACCAGTGATTTGCATTTTTACTTAAAACAAACATTATTAGAAAAATAAAATAAAATATTGCTTCACAGGTTCACTATAGTATTCACCATTAACTTATCGTTGTCGAAGTCTCATGATCAGTGGTGGTGAAAGGTGATGACATCGAATTCAAGTTCCCTTTGGTTGACAGTAATCAATTAATATTCATCCCTCAATGATGTTGGTTTCGAATTTGAGGAAGACAAATAGTTAAATTTTAGGTATTAACCAAAGTGCACCGACCCAGGCTTGTCATTGCCATGACTGGTAGCTAAATCCATTATTTTAGTTGAAGGAATTACACTTAACCTGATAAACCGTCCACATTGTACGAAGAAACATACTGTTTTAAGTAACCAAGGACAAGAAGCCTAGACAGCTCTCTGCTTGATAAAATTCATAAAATAATCCAAAGCCTCCACCGAACTTCTCGGAAACCCATGCAGAAACTTTTCACCAAGAATCTCAGCATTCCTCTTCATCTCTTTATCACCCATCAACCTTGTGATTCCCTCAACTATATCATCCCTCGTTACCTTCACCGTCATATCTTCACTCACCATATAACCCACCTTAAGATGCGACACCACCAACTTTGCATTATGGTACTGATCACCCCTAATGGGGTACACCAAGAACGGTACCCCTCGTCCAACACCTTCCACCGTAGAATTCCAACCACAGTGGGACAAGAATCCCCCAGTTGAAGGGTGACTCAGTATCAACAATTGCGGGGCCCACCCACGAATTATCAAACCCCTATTTCCAACTCTACCTTCCAACCCATAAGGAAAAAACCCTTCTTCACTTTCATCACCCATGTTGGGTGGACCCGGTCTACCCGAACTGGGTTGGAGAACCCATATAAATGGTTCCTCACATGACTCAAGCCCTTGAGCCAGTTCTTCATACTCCTCCACGGTGGGACCCACCTCGGTGCCGAATGATATGTATAAAACTGATCCACGTGGCTTTGAATCCAACCATTGGGTTACTTCTTCTTCGGTGACACTCGACTTACGGTTCGACCGGACGTCCCGGTCGTGGAGAAGTGAACCGGTTGATTTCCAGTACTGCTCGGGGAGAAGCGGTCCAACGCCCCAAACCGGTTTTTTAATATGGTTTGCTATGAAATTAATAAACGGACGCTCCAGTTCGTCACACGTGTTGAACATCAACGCGGTGGCGTCTTCAAGCTCCTCCACCCACGGTGGCGGGCCTCCGAGCTTAGGCGGCGGCGGCGGAGGATGAAATCCGTGTCCTCCGCCGCCGTCGTGCGGCGGTGGCGGAGGTTGGTGAGGTCGTTGTTTGAGATCGGAATGCGTGAGCGCCATGTCTCGGGGCAACCCGGGAATTAAACGGGTCTCTCCGGGTTTGAGGTCTAACGGGTGGGCTTTCCAGGCGGCGAGTTCCATGGCGGCGGAGCAGGCGGCGGAGGTGAAGAACGCCACCGTGGGAATATGAAGTTTGGCGAAGATGGGGATGGTCCAGTTCATCATGACGTCGACGATGGCGCAAGCGGGTGGGGTCGGGTTGGCGGAGAAGATGGTTTGGAGCTCCGGGACGAGGTGGTCGTGGGGTGGCGGCGTGGGTGAAGATGGGAAATGGGTGATTCGAAGCAGAGGGTGTTGGCGGAGCGAAGAGGGTAGGGAAGTGGTGAGGGTGGAGGGGATAATGAGAGTGATGGTGATGTTTCTTGAAGCTAAGTGATTGCATAGTTCCACGCAGGGGAATATGTGGCCTTGTCCCCAGAAGGGGACTATGCAAATTTCTAAAGACATTGTTTTGGTTTGTATTGGGTGTTTCTCAAAATCGGATTTTGTTATATAGATAGTGAATGCGACAAGGTTCTGTAACTGAAGGTCAAGGAAGGTAAGATCTTTACTCTTTAGTAAAAACACTTCCTTTGACTGTTAGTTAGGTAATGTCAAGTGTAATTCTTTAGAAAAAAACAGTGCCAGTGAATTAGTGATCTGGCTAGGACAATGTCACATTCCGAATTTCCGATTCCGGTTAGGACAATATTTTCTTTTTGCAGCCAACGCGTGTATGATTGAAAGAGAAATACTTTCTGAATTATTTTATTTTATTTTAACTAAGAATAAGAGACTGCATTAATTGTACACGATGTTGACTTTTCAACATGTAATAGAAATGTAAATGAAATTCAAACCAGGGTGGCCCAAACAAATTCATTCCAGGGATTAAAGTCTCTCTCTCTCTCTCTCTCTCTTTTTTTTGGTGAATAACTAAAGTCGCTTCTGCATACTCAAATGCAATTATCCATAAATTCAAATCCTTGCAACTGTGACTCTTCTCCTTTGGCAGCATGAAAGCTTACGAAATTCTTTTGTATAGTCTGGTTCGTTGTACAAGAATGAGTTAAACTTTTGTAGTTTCAAACCCGCAGATATTAAACTGAGCAAGTACGCATGGCTAAACATCATCTAAAATATATTTTGAGTTCTTAATTTATGTTTTGTTAGTCTTTCAATGCACTTACTTTAAAGAACTTATCTTGTTGTTTCTCGAAAAACATAAATAAAGTTCTTAATTCTCTTTATGAATTTCACATTATATTTTTATTTTATTTAAGTAAAAATAATAAAAAAATTATTGATAAAAACCAGTTCTTGAAGATTCTTATAAAAAAATAATGTATAAAGGTGGTTCTTACATCGTGACATCTACATTAACATGTTCCAATGGTAAGATTTTACAAGGACTAGGTTCTTATATTTAAAAATGCAACTAAAAACTCTTGAAGATGACTTGTTGATTGATATTAGTAGATGGTATGTTCATATATTCAAGATTTTTCTTTCGGGTAACGATTAAGAAATGTTATTGTTGTGCATAAGACATATACATCAAAATAATATCGTGGCTCTGAAAAAGACACCATTGTTGATTCACTATGTTATGGTACGTAGGAAACTAGAATTGCTTACAGCTTTCCATTCCTGAAATATCAAGCTGATGGAAGAATCTCAAGGGCAACTTCCTTGAGGGATGGCATACTTTTCTGCTGATGTATGCAAAAGTATCGACTATTCCCCACTCTTCTGAGGACCTTCCAGGGTCCTGGATAGCACCTGAGGAAAAGTTTAATACACACACAACCCGTTAGTAGTACAGGGACCAAAGATTAAGAGTCTGTTTGAATATATTTCTCTATAAACACTTTTAGGAGAATAAAAATAAACCAAGCTTTTATTTTTTTCTAAGTTAAAATTAACTTATATATAAGTTAAAAAATATATTTTGGTGAAACTAATAAAAGAATATTTAACTTTTTCTTCTTATTTTGTTTTTTTTATCTGAGTAAGAGTAATTACATAGAAATTTATCTAAACAAACTAGGGCAGGGCCTATGTCTACTGACCGAAGTTCCACTTCATCTCTCAGCAAGATATTGAATATTTCCAGATTACCACAAATACTAAGCATGACATTCAACTAATTAGACCAATTGGAGTTAATTTAGCTAGCAGACCTAAAAAGTGTTCCTCCATTGCGGCCCTTGAAATTATGAATATAGTACACAGTTTCCATCATAGGTAGGAAGGTCTTTGTAAGTGCAGCAAGCCTTGGGTAAAAGAATGGTGGATAATCTTGATCCAATCAAGGAGAACAATTTTCTACAAAAGCCAAGAAAGAGATCGAGACTTTCTGATGTTACGCAAGTTTTCTCTCAAAATCACATTTTTTGACATTATTTTATGATCTAGCAACTCATTTTCTTATTACTACCAACAAATTTTTTTGGATGAAAATAAATCTTAATAAATGCTGCATAGGAGCATGTAGATCCATATTAAAAAACTGTACAATATGGTAAAGGATACATCCAGATCTTATACGATCGAGTTCTCCATTGAAAATAATCAGTTTTCGTTCAGTGTTCAAGACTGCCTCTTTATAAAGTTCTTCCACAACAAGCATTTCTGAAATGCAATGGAACACTAGTCATGAAAACTTTCATTGTTTATGTCAGCAAGAACAAAGGATATTTGGAACTACCATTGACATTAAAATATGGGTAGGCTACCAAGAAAAGTTCATCTCCAGTCTTCACTCTGTCTGACATTTTTACTTTCTCAACAAAACCAAAATCTTGAAAAAATGAAGGCTTTGTCAAATAGTCCAACTTAAAAGAAGATCCACTAAAGGCTGATTTTCTGGCAAAGTCAACTTCGTTAGCCTCTGGAAAAAACTGATCATTACAAGGTTATGCATCAATTTCAACTGGAAGTGATGAAACTGAATTATGACACTAAAATATTTTGCACGACCATCTTTATAGAACATGACAACAAGTCTGTTCATATACTAGCATAAAAAACTTTTGAGAGTTTTTTTATCGAAAATAAAAAAAACTTTTTTTCCAATAAATAAGCTCTCAAAACACTTTTAACTTATATCCAAACATTTTCTAACTTTTGTTGATAACACGTGTTGAAAGGAGAGACAAAATACATAAACAAGAAAGAGCTATTAGCAGAACCAATCAAATTATTGATAATCTCCATGGAATTAAAACTTAGTATCTGGCTGTACTACTCATAATTGATGTTTATATGTTTTGGGTTGGAATTATAAAGCAAGAGACTTGAAACTAATTGTAAAAATAGTTAGATTGTATGCTAAGAAAAAGAAAAACTAAAAGAAAAAAGCTTCCAAGTCAGTGAAAGAAATGCAAGGAGCACAAAACCATTTGTTACATGAAGAGAAAGGCTTGTTTTTCATTCAGAAACACAAGCAGGTGGAATAAAGAAGAACAATGCTTTAAATCAAGAAGATTACTATTCTAGTTCGTGTGGTTTTCTCTGAACTAATGAAGCGGTCACAAAATTCACGAATCAATTGCATGCTCTCAGTCATTTCTATTCCACCTTCCCCATCACCTGTAATGAGTGAGATGCATCAATTGCATACAAATTGAAACAACAATAAAACGGTTCTTGAAACAAAAAAGGAAACTGAAATATGTAGAACCTGGTACAGACCCGAGTCCAGCCGTGGGAAACTCAATCTCCTGTATAAGATTGTTCAATACAGACTCCATAATACTCTTCACTTTAGTGTGTGTAACTTTAGTTCTTGATTCCTAATAAAATTACTATCAAATGTGACTCACCATTAGCTGTCTGTCATCCTTCATAGCCAATTCCACAGCTACTCTAGCCTGTTGGTTTATTCAATAACAAAGAACTATTAGTCCCACCTTTTTCGCTATAAATTTTTGGGTTCAGTAAATTTTTCTTTCACTATTGCAAAACATAAGATTAACATAAAATATAACCGATCAACCAAATCACCACTACATTGGCCAATCAATATCAAAGCTAAACGTTACAATGAACATAAAATAGATGTAACGGGAGGATCAAGAAACACTTACTTGTTCCAGAAGCTCCGAGTAATCAGCAGGGAAATCAGTCTCAACAGAGGCGTTGCTATCTCTCGATACAGAACATGTTGCTATTTTTCGGTTTCTGGGTACCACGGAAGAAGCAGTCACTCCTCTAATTCTGGTAACCCCATCATTTTTCAGCAAAAAAGTTTCCAACTTGGTAACCTACAGATGCAGAAAAGCAATCGAGTACAAAGACAGTGGTAGGGATTTTTGGAGCAAAATTTTAAGAAAATTAAACTTTTTTTTTTGGTTGTTTATGTAAATTTTCTGGCAATTTGATGAGAGTGCTCAAAATTATCTTACCGTTGAAGTTGGTAGAGAAGGAGATGCGATTGGAGAATTAGAGAGAATCATGGAACTGGATAAAACCATTTTCAACCTGTACCTCTCATGCAAAGAGAGATGCCGCCAACAAGTACAATAGTAAACATGAGTCAATTTTGTGAATTATTCTAGTTTTATTCATGCGCCGTCAATTTTTATATGCTAGTTAATTTTTGTGAATAAATCTATGTATGCACACAATACATCTTTTATTAACCACTTTTTGATTTTGATTTTTATCGGACATATCTTTAAATTCATATCACACTTTAAGAAATAGTAATTTATGCAATAAATTATGGTTATATAATTTTTTTATCTTCAATTGATTTTAATTTTAGTATAAAAAATTATTAAACACTAAATTAAAGAATACAAAATATATTTTACAAAGTTATAAATAAGTCAAATAAATCAAATTTATCTTTATGTATTCTCAAACTTTAAATTAGACTTATTTAAACAAATAAGTTAAATGTAGTTGTTATACTTCTTCTTGGCATGCCATGTACTCTCGAGCAGCATGTAACAAATGGAAATGGAATGGTTATTAATGGTGGAAGGACAATCAGGACAGATGAGGAATTACAAGTGGATGAAGCACATGATACAACTCAAGAGCAGGTGGCAGCTGATGCGCATGATTTGGGAAAGAGAATGAGTGAGAGAATCAAAATAACCAATTGATGTATAAGAGACTAAGTATGGTGAGGCTCAAATATTTAGCAGGTTTGGTTTTAAAAAGAAGGGGAGGATGCAATTCTAGTTTTTCTCGGTTGATTATTCTTATACACAACAAATCGGTATTTTCATTGAATTCACGGTGAAAAATACTTGTTTAAGGGAGCTTTAAACAAATGTAAAAAACTCATTTTGAAACGTATGGAGTTTTGTGATAAGGAGAACAATATTCGATTTGAAATTCTGGAATCTACAACGGATACATTGCTGATTCAGCTACTGAAGTTGAATCATCATGAAGATCGCAATCATTCTGTAACAGAAAGGGAAATCACTGGGGGCTTGGGACGTAAGGAAGTTGACATCATGGATGATCAAGGTCAGAAGGACAAGGAAGTAATTGAGCAATCAAGTGAAGGAAGAGATGAGTGGGAAGAGAAATCAAGGAATGAGGAGCATGTGAATTCGGTTAGTTCACAAGGACAGGTGGCAGCAAATGATGGGTTGGGTAGTGAAATCAAGGCCAAACGTGTGAGTAGGCCTAGTGTGCGAATGAAGGATTTTGTGTGGCAGAGGAATTAGTTAAAAGTCAGGGGGGTAGGAGAGAGAGGTAGGCAATGATAGAAGAGCTATTCTTCTCTCTCTCTCTCGGTGGACTTTTCTTCATTGTTGATGTTATTGTACTGCATTTCCATTTTTAATCGAGTTGAATGATTCCCTGTGATCCCGTTTGATCTCATAGGAAGTGCATTCTCAACATTTGATCCTTGATTCCTTGTGTTCATCTTAATTCAGTCATTATTACTTGTTATTTGTTCTGCATTTATCAATCTAGCATATTTAGCTTGTTACACATTCTTGGTACTCAATATGAAATTGGATTTCCCCAAATTTGATGGAAATGATGTGCTTCAGTGGATTCTTAAGGCAAATCAGTTTTCCAACTATTATAAAATACCTGATGAACAACTTATTATTATTACAATCCACTTGGATAAAGAGGTTGTTTCATGGTACCGGCTCGCAATAATCCCGTTTAGTCTTGGATTGGGGTTACAAGAGCTTTGGAATTAGAGTTTGGTCCTCTCCTTATGAGTGTCCTAGATCTCACTTGTTTCCGTTGATGCAAGTTGCTAGTGTTCATGAGTATTATGTGCAATTTATTTCATTAGCTAACCGTGTGAATGGTATTACATGGGATGCACTATTGGATTGCTTCATTGGTGGATTGAAACATGATATACATGAAGATGTTATTGCTCAAGTTCTACAACTTTAATCTGATCAGTTTTCTTAGCCAAATTGTCTGAAGAAAAATATGTATCAAAAAATAAACTATATCATTCCAACTCTATCTAGAAACCAATCAACCAATTACAATTTCCCGTCTGAAAACTACTAGCCTACCCCCACTCCAAATCCACCCCTGAACCCAAACACAAACCCACCAAATAATACCAAGTACCAACGTTAAGAGAATGTCACCTCAGAAATGCAACGGAGGCAAGAAAAAGGAATATGTTATATACATTTGATGAGAAATTTTCTCCAACTCATAGATGTCGGAACAAACAATACATTTGGTTGCAAATGGAAACACAGTATATTCACGATCTTGAACCTGATCCACCAGATAAAGTTGTTGAGCTTGAAATACAATAAGTAGAAGAACATATTTGTCTTACAATGTATTGAAAGACTCTTCTAGCTTAGGTACCATGAGGTTTCATGGAATAACTAATGGAATAACAGTGTAGATTTTGCTTGATAGCAGGAGTTCTGATAATTTCTTGCAGCCTCAATTGGCACATTGTCTCAAACTTCCTATTGAACCTATCTCAAGGTTTACGGTCATTTTCTGAAACAGTTCATTTGATACAGTTGCTGAAGTAGACTTGGTTTCGGGACCTGCTTGGTTGGCTACATTGGATCCTAAATTAAAGTCTAATATTTCTGTATTATAGCATTAATTACTCTATTTCATATAATTACATATTTATAATATTTTCTCATACATTTATCTAAATGTACCCTTTAAGGTTTTCACATTAATTTGGGGGCAACTCAAATTATATCCACAAACATCGATATATACCATAATAATCATAATTACAATAATTATAAAAAAAATATTATAAGAAAGAATAAAATTCAAGAACATAAAATATTTGGGAAAATACTTTTCATACATAAACATACAATAAAGATAGGATTGGGGTCAATCTCATTACCTAATATACATTCCCATCTAGAGCGAGACTACTCAATCCCTTTTTTACTTATGTGTGTATAAATTGTCTTTGCATTCATACTTTAGTTTAGGCCATTTGCATATATTATTAACATTGTTTGAATGATTTTATCATGCATTATCTTTGTTTTATATTACATTTTTGGTTTTTTTGTTTTTCTTTGTAAATAAGTGTTTTAGGTGCTTAAATCATTGTTTAAAGAGAGCAAGTATCAAGATGGAAGAGTTGAAATATCACATACTACACAATAAATCTTGGCACTATGGCACTTAAGAAAGATTTTTAATCTACTTAAATAAAGTATAAAAAGTTTTAAGCTTCTATGGTGACACTCATTGCACTTGGTTACTAGAGAATTGTCTGCCTTAAAAAAAGGGAAAGTTGAAAGAAAAATGGTTCTTGAGTTAACTAGACACCCCTTTGAGGTCATAGGTTACTGGGGAAATACTGTAAGTACCCCTTTGAGACTGATTGACTACTGGGGAAATGTTAATGTTTAGTTTAAAAAATTCTAAAAATAAAAATTTCCTAAGAAAGACACTCCTTTGAGACCAAGTATGGCAAGTGCATAGCAATTGAGTGGAAGATCCATGCATAGTTGGGTGGTAAGTGTCTTCTATGTTAGAAACCTAAGAAAAAAACATATAAATAAATAGAAAAGAAAGGGTTACAAGTATTGTCTGACTTAGTGTCTAGTGCCTTGCTTCAATTAATCTCTAATTGCACTAGGGACCTAACAAGTTAGTCATTATTCTAAAAATTGTGAAAAGTGTGCTCTTGGATATCATTGTTTGAATTTGGTCTTGAATTGAGATGATATGTTTTCATTTAAATGTACTAATTATCTTGTTTTCATTTAGTTTTATTTGCTTGAGGACAAGCAAAAGTCTAAGCTTGGGAGATTTTGATGTGTGTATAAATTGTCTTTGCATTCATACTTTAGTTTAGGATTTTATCATGCATTATCTTTTTTTTTATTTTTTATATTACACTTATGGTTTTCTTGTTTTTCTTTGTAAATAAGTGTTTTAGGAGCTTAAATCATCGTTTAAAGAGAGCAAGTATCAAGATGGAAGAGTTGAAGTCAAAGAATTCCGCAGACAGGTTGTGGGCTTGGGCCAAATGAAAAGAAGAGGAAAAGATAACTCTTAGGAATTAAAAAGAAAAGAAAAAGAAAAGAAAAAAAGAGTCTGAAAATAAAAGGGGAAGAATTAGAAAAAAAAAAAGAGGAAATGGAGGAGGAGAACTGATAGTCAGAGAGCGGAACGATTCATTAAGAGGAGATCAACTCACCATCGGAAGATGAATGACTTATCAGTCTCTTTTGGTTTTTCCTTTTTCATTATGTAGAACTAATTTTCTTTTTGTTAGAGTATTGATGTAATATTCTGGATCATAGTTTTTGAACCTTTTCAATTAATGTTTGGTTAATTTTAATTATTTCAGTGTTTTATCCATGTCTCTAATGTTTATTCTATAAACAATTTTACAATTGGGAGATTGGGGATTGTTTAAGATTATAGATAGAACAGATTGGGTTTTGTCATAATTGGGAAATTGAGCATATCTAGTTAGTTTGTGTTTGAGATGATAATTGTTCTTCATGATTCTATTAAATTTTATAATTGTCCTAAGGAATTGGGAATTAGGGTTCAATGAATAGATTTACTTGCCCAAGAGATTAGGGGTAAATAACTCTTAATAAACTCAAGTGAGTAATTACAATTCTTGCATTAATTGAAAAGGGTAAGAATCGATAGGAAAGAATATGAAATCAATTATCTAACAATTTTAATATTGAGTGAATTTTTGTTAATTTTCTATGTTCGTTGTTCCATCTATTTTTCAATTGCTCAAAATTAACGTAAATTAGTAATCTAGTATTCAACAAATTCAATCCCTAAGGACGATAATATTATTACTACAGTAACGATTGATACACTTGCCAAACGTGCAACACTTACCTTAATGAATACTTGATAAAGAATGTAGATCTTCGGCCTCCAACAATCTCTGATTTTCCTTCCCATTTTTTGGAACCTATGCGTAACATGAAAAAGGAGAACATGAAAAAGGAGAAGTATAAAAATAAAAGAACGACCATAATCCTCTTTTAAAAACTTAACACAAACTTAACTCTTCACTAAAAATACTTTTACTATAGTTTTCTTTTTCTAACTTCAAATATTTAAACTTATAAATAAATAATATATTAAATAAACATTTCTCTCAACCCAAATAATTATAATAAAATACAATAATTAATA